GGCCCAGCATGGCCGCCCCGGAGCCGGCCCGGGCTGCACCGCCCCCACCCCCGCCCCCGCCGCCCCCTCCGGGGGCTGACCGCGTCGTCAAAGGTGAGAGGTGGACGAAGCCCTGGGGGCCTGGCCTGAGGAGCTGTGTGTGAGGGCGGGCGGGAGACAGTCCCCTCCGGAGCGGCCCCGGAAGGGCGGGCGAGTGACTGGCTGCCTCCCTTGGGGAGTGGCCCCTGGGCGGGCCCCTGCTGGGCTGGGCTGAGTCGGTAGCGGCGATTCCGCCGTCTCTCGCCTGCCTTCAGGCCCGAGGCGGGCGTTTCGCTCTTGAGGTCTCCTAGCCGCAGTGAGCCCTTTTCTTTTTCTCCTGGGCCTGTCAAAGCGTCCCAGAGGCCGCGATTAGCTTCCTGCCCCGCGACAGCTGCACGCCTGGCTTGCCTGGGCGGACCGAGGGGCTTGGAGACCTTCAGCCACGCGGGGCCGGGCGATGAGCAGTCAGAAATCACCTCGGCTTTGGCCCACGCCTGCTCCCCAGTGACAGCCGTCAGCCCGATTCGCGCCTAGTTAGCGCCAGCCGCAGGGGTTCGCGCTTGGCCCTCAGGTGTCACTCCACGCGGAAACTGGGGGAACCATGTGGGATTGGACAAGGGTGAAGAGACGAAGCAGGATTTGGGGGCCCCGGCTTTAAGTGCAAAATAGATGGGGAAAAGGCAGCATGAAAGGAAAAAAAGCGCCTTGTGGATAGGAAGAAGCATTTACTTAGAAAACCGATCAACACTGGTATAAAGGCCAAAAGGGGTTACCCCTCACCTTGCGAACAAACACCCATAGAAGAAAACATTAAATATTTCTCAGCTGGGGCAGAATTTATGTATGTTTACCGACAACAGATAAGCAGATTAATTTAAAATAGAGATATTGAGGGCAAATTGTTGCTTAAGATTTCCATGCTCTCTGGGAGAGCCCATCAACTTCAAACACCGCTGTGGAGGTGAAAAACAATCTGAAATGATTTTTCTTTATTGTGTAGCTTGGTCAATAAATTGACATCATTTTAGAATAAAGTTTTCTTTGTTGTGTTACGTTTATTTTGGAAGGCTAGATACTTCTTTTACTTATTTATTTTCATTCAGCTTCTCAAATATACTGGCACAATGTTTAAACACTGTTAGTCCAGTTTTTGAAATTTGACCAGATATGTTTCCATTAAAATATTTAAAAACAAGAAAACCTTTTTCCTTTGTGTTTTTTTTAATTTTAATTTTTCAGTTTGAGCCTTCTTTAATAACAACACTGATTTGTATCCAGGCTTGTATAGACAGTTTTTAAAAGTTAGTAGTATATCCAGTTGGGCCAGGCATTGGAATGAGCTGAATAAAGGGTTTATGGAATTCTTGTCCCGAGAAATCTTTATAAAAAGAGAAGAAGAAAAAAAAAAGATTGGTAGTTCAGATTGGTTGTCCTGACAGGAAATCCTGGACTTCTGTGGGGGTTGGGAACAGAGACATGGGCTGCTGCTTCATTTTCTGACTATGTATCTGTGTTGTTTGTCCATTCCCCTGGGCACTTTTCATTGTACTGTTAGGACAACCAGTCACATTCCCGAGCAATGAGTTTGTGCTTTCCTTATGCTTGTGAATCTTACTGTTTTTTGTCATACATATGATAATGTTTTCCTCTACTGTACTGCTTTAATAACAGTAAAAATAAGATTCCAAACATAAAGGCATTATTCCTTAGGGGTGAGTTGTGAATCCAGGATGGTCACATTTGAAAGTTACTGATATGGAATAAAAGTCATTTGATTAAATAGGAAAGGAGCTTGTTGGTGTAGAAAATTATAGTTAAATAGAGCTCATAGGTATAAGATCTCGTGTGCATAGTAGCATATTTTTCACCAAAACAACTTTCATTTCTTTATGGAATTTGTTAGCAGCTGGAATGCGTGATATGGATCACATGTTTAGAGATGGTGGCAACAGACTGGTTTGCACTGCTCATGGAGTCTCTGCTCTGGCCTCCGCAGACTGGGAAATTCACCTTTCATACAGAAATCCACTTTTGGATTTCATCTTCAGGCTTCTTGCCTGCCTTCTTTCAATAATTGTACCATAATGTTATATTTGATGATAGAGAACACCCTTGTCAGAACATATATGGCCACAGTGCTAGTTCAATTTGTTAAAATCCAGATTTCTTAAAAGTTTAGTATGTGCTAGTTTTGCATCTGTATCGTTTCATAGTAGTAATATCATGGAGACTATTGTTGGCATTGAATACAAGTAGTCTTCTACTCCCTGAACCTTTCCTTATAGTTTCTAAATTTTATACTCTTACACTTTTAGTCAGGAAGGCTATATTTTATGGTCATGACAGTTTCGCAAGGGCTATAAATCTTTCTGTGTTTAATATCATGTGCCTAAAGTTCACTTCATATGAAGTTTGAGATCTTGGAATACTGTAGGTGATTCATGTATCAATTTAAATAGCTTTTCACTGAAATTATTAAAATTTTTTTTTTTTTAAAGATTTTATTTATTTATTTGACAGAGAGAGACACAGTGAGAGCAGGATCACAAGCAGGGGGAGAGGGAGAAGGAGAAACAGGCTTCCCGCGGAGCAGGGAGCCCGAGGCGGGGCTCGATCCCAGGACCCTGGGACCATGACCTGAGCCGAAGGCAGACGCTTAATGACTGAGCCACCCAGGCGCCCCAAAATTATTAAAATTATTAATGGTGATTCCATATCGCTGATTATGGGCGATTAGGTTGCCTGGCTAGTTAAAGCAATTTCATTTTTTTTTTTTAAGATTTTATTTATTAGAGAGCAAGAGAGCATTGGGGGTGGGGGTAGGGACAGAAGGAGGGGGATGAACAGACTCCCTGCCAAGCGTGGAATCTGAAGCTGGCTTGATCCCAGGACCCCAGGATCATGACCTGAGCAGAAGGCAGAGCCACCCAGGCTCCCCAGCAATTTCATTTCTGAGCCTACTCCAGCTGCTGCTGGCTCAGGTCAAATTCTTCTGTTTGAAAGTTACTATAGCCCAGTGGTTTAGGTGAGATAGTATGCCCTCTTAACCATTTTCTGTTAAGCATTTTTCTATTCTTCAGCTAAGATAAGTTGGAAATAAGAAAGTGGAAACAAACTAGGAAAAATGGCTAATTGTATCTGCATGAGTGCCTTACTGCCACCTCAGCAAAATTGGTATGGGTAATTACAACATAAAACCCTGAGTTTATGCGTATTGCTCTCCTCACCCCCCCGCCCCCCAATTTACTCAACCTGAATTATCCAGATACTACCCTACCTTTTATTTCCGGATATTTTAAAAATGTACTTTTTGCTATGTAGATGAGGTCCCAGATTTGTAAACCTCAATTGTCTCTTGAGATTATTGAATCTGCTAGTCTTGGTAAAAGAATCCACCTTTATCACTTAGAGGGCATTGTCTGTATTGTGTATATGTTCATTTTAGTATGCATACTGTGACTTTCCTTTGCATTCAATATATTTTCTTTATTTCCTAGCTTATATTAACCTCATCTCTTAAATTATCAGACTTTCAGATTGAACCAAAATGCTGAAGTGTGTGTGTGTGAGTGTTAAGTTTTTTAAGCTAATATATTTCTGATAGGCAGCTTCACGATTCATTTCGGTTCTTTTGCTAGCTGCCCTGCTTATAAGTCTGAGGTCATTTGGCTCAAGTATTTTCTAGTACGTAGCTTTATTAGGATTGCTTATTTTCATTACAGATTGCTAGATGACCCACATAGGTCTTTGGGTCACATGGCTACTTCATTGTTTCTCGCTAGTTCTATTTCATCATGTTTTAAAGCAACTTGCATTTTAATTTTTGTTTACTAAATGTATTTTGTGGACTTACCTATCTAAAAGATAACTCTTGAAAATGATTTTTTTCCTCCCACCCCCATTAAATTGTTAAAATTCTAAAATAAATCTTCAGTACCATGTGTCCTAGAGAAAGCAAAGGAACAGAGAAAATAGTGTCTGTGAGTGTGTGTGTATGAGAGAGACAGAGACAGAAAGAGATGGAGGGAGGGAGAGAGGAAGGGAAGGAGAGAGAACATTGTGGTAACAAGTCATCTTAGAAGAAAAATGCCAAGGAAGAAATATAGCTGCTTAGTAGTAAGGCAAAAGCTTTAGGTTCCAGAGTTATTGAATGAGTTAGCAAGAGTTGTAAGGAAAAGTTTGATGAAAAGAATCTTGTTTTATTAAATGGGGTGTATTTTAGTACCAATCATATGACTACATTTTATCATAAAAATGTTTATTTATACACAGATAAAATTAGCTGAAGATAGTTGGGCATCCTTGGATGTTATGTAAAATTTATTTTGGAACATCAAAGTAATCAAATAGCAAATATTTATTAAATGCCTGCTATATGCTAAAAACTGCAGGGAGACAAATATAAAAAAAAATGAAGAATAGTCTTGGTCCTTGGAGAAATAAGTACTCATGAAAAGTTATTTGTATATGTCATAAGGATGGATGCAATTAATAATTGCCAGATAAATGACTTGTTTGAGTTCAAAGGAGGTAGTGATGACTCTGGACTGGAATGGTCAGTCTAACAAGGGTTTATACAAGGAAGAAGGAGGCCTTGAAGGAAGGGTAGGATTTAAACAGGCAGAGGATTGGGACCATTTATTTGTGCAACATTTATTGAGTACTTGCTTTGTACCAAAGCATAATAGGCATTGAAGATACAGAATTGGATTAGTATAATTAAGTAAGATTCTCTTGGAGTGCTGGCAGTCTAGTGGAGGAGACATTATTACAAATAAATAATATAACAAGGTATGTACAAAGTGCTGTTGGGGCTGTAAAGGAGTTAACTCTCTTATTTGGAGAAAAATCATCAATGAGAGGATTATGTTTTGAGGTGGGCCTTGAAGGATGAGTAGAATTTTTCCAGATAGAAGGTAGGACTGGAGTAGAGGAAACAGCAGCAGAAAGACATGGAGTTTGAAAAAAAAAAACTTGAAAATGTGAGACAGTAGTGTGTAACTGCTTGGCTGTGAGTGGCAGGAGATGATGTTGGAAACCATTTTTTGTACACTAAATTGAGGAGCTGAAACTTA